CTAGAGGATCCCTTTACTCTAAAATATCGTTCGGTTTCTCCGAAAATGCCTTCAAAAGGCTTCGGTGGGGTCCCCGAAAAAATGCTCCAAAAGGCCCAAAATCCGTTCGGAATGCTCCGGGGCGCACTAATTTTCCTTTCGGGCAAAACGGAAATATCTCACGACAGCAGTGTGGCAGCCACACCAACTGCCCGTCTATCATCACTCGGAGTTAGGTTAGGTTGGGTTAGGTTAGGGGGTTGCGGGGCGACCTACCGCAAGAAGGCGCGAGTGGAAGGGGGTGAAGAGGTGAGGGGGAGGCGTGTCGGGTGGATGGAGGTAACGGTGGAGGGTAACCCAATGGGGGCGTTACGGCCCCGTTGGGTTACACGGGGGTAACCCCGGGCGCGAGGAGAGGGAGACCCTCCCTCCGAAACTTCCCCCCACACAAACGCACATCTCCCCACACCAGCCAACCGGCCCATCCGCCCCCCGACCTGGTCAAGGAGGGGTATCGCCTCAGCAGGACCAACGACAGCTAGGCCGCCGCCGGCACCGCCAGCACCGCTGCCGTGCACATCGTCGTACTCTCCGCCATCTTCACCGGTGTCATCGTCTTCTAAAAGGGACGCTGCTGCCGCCGCTGCACCGGAGCTGGCGGCGCCAGAGCTGACTCCAGCAGCCGCCGGCGCCCCGAGAAGCAGCGCCGCCGCCGCCGCCGCCAGCCAACACACACACACACACACACACACACACACATACACACATACACACATACACACATACACACACGCGCGCGGGAGAAGAGAAAACACCCCGGTGGTTCATATAGACGGTGTAGGACGTGATTATAGCAATTTGCGAGCTGACCAGGAAATAAGTTGAGGCGCCGTTGATCCGCTAGATTTGGTTGGATGCTGGTGGTGAGTTGCTGAACCCAACGAATACATTCTGAAGTCGGATGGGGTGAACGGATTAGGGTGCCCCTCTATCAGGGGAGAGCAGGGACTGCCTCGGGAAGGAGGCCACTGGTGAAGCTGTACCACCCTGTAACAACAACAGCAACAACAATACTCCCACTACATGTCATTGCAAGGTACTGCCACTCATAGACACTAGTTGGGGCTCTGCAGGTAAAACCCTTTCCGCAACCCCTTAGAAACCCTTTGCCATCCCTTTCTTCACACACCCCCATTCCCCCGTAACCCAAACGTTTCCCTCTTTTCCCTGTGAGTAACCCCTCCCCCCCCCAACACACACGCACGCAGATCCCCCCCTTCGTCCCACAACCCGCCCCCAGCACACACATACACACAATCCTCGGTTCCCAAGCCTTCCAACCCTTCCCCCCTTCCGTACCTCTGAAACCACGACAGTACGACATTACCTAGGAGGTTTCCGAGGTGAAGGGAGTCCGCAGTGGGATCGAATCCGCAGTAAACGGACAGCGGCCCCTCCGCCACCCCCGCAGCCGCCTCCAGCTCCTCCCCCCCCGTCACTTCCTGGACCAGCCCCCTGGAGCGAAGCAGTGCAACTACATTGGGTCGCCCTCCATGGTGGCCGCCGGGGGGTGCGGGGGTCGATGTGGTGGTGGTGTAAGCACTGCTGGAGGCGGTGACGGTAGAGGTGGTGGAGGCTTCTGGGTCCAGAGGTAGCGGGGGAAAGGGCGGAAAGAGGTGCATGCGTGGGGGTGAGAGTGGCGAGGGTGAGGATGTCGGCGCACGACGTAAATGTGACAACCCACCTGCGGGAAAGGGGCCCGCTGTAGCTGTTTCAGTAACCTCAGCAGAGGCTGAGCAGGGGGTATTGGGTGAAAGCTTGCTGCTTTAAAAGGGCGCTGGGCGTCGCCGTTGGTTCGGTCCCCGTCCTGCGCATGGGTCAGTTGGAAGTCATCGCACGTCGGCATACTGTCGTTGTAATCGATACTAGAGGTATGGCAGATCGAGTAGCGGATCACATCACGTGATTGGATGGGATATCTTTGGTCTATACAAAAATGTTCACCTTGCCGGGCGAGATGCATGTCGTTGTTGCAGAAGCATCGTTCCTTGGGATGTACTAAATAAAAGGAATGGCGATGAACTTGGTTTGACTGCAGTCATGATACAAATGAAATGCAAGCACAGCCGGTTGCCCGTATGGACGAGCTGACCTTTCGCCACAAGATGGACATCCAAAGAGACCTAACGTATTGGATCAGGGCCGGCTAAGTACCTACTTCCATATTACATGCTGTGAAATTGCAATTGCGCACGTTCCTTGATGCAGTTTAGAATAACGCGAATTGGACTCAGGTATTGGGATGAAATGATAAGATTACAAATTACAGTATTACCATAATGATGTCCCTAGTGCTTGCGGGCAGGCCTGGCCTCAGCGCTATATGTCGGCAACCGTCGGCGCTGGCGCTGTTTCACGCAGCAGCGCCGTTGCCCCAGTTACTTGATGACGCGATTTCGGTACTAGAAGCTGCGAGGTTACGCAACTCTGGGCATGTCCAGACATCCATTTCAACCGCGACCATCAGACTTCGGACGACGCGCGGAACCCCATCGTCGGAGCAACTGCTTGCTTTCAGATCATGTGTGGTGACCTCAGCTGATATCCAAAGCATTCTAGACTTTCCCCGCAACGTCCCTGGAACTCCGCTCACAGCCGGCCTCCGGCAGCTGTCCGCCTTCAACGACATCCCGGTCTCACATCTGACACAGGCGGTCCCACAACCGCCTATCGCAACAACCATTCCATGTTATTCATTATCGGTATCTCAAGAGACCTGCGACCCCAAGAAGCAGTTAACATGCAATGGTCACTCCGCATCGCCACACCCTTCCTTTGACCGTCAAATGGCGCGGCGACCCCACCTCCAAGCACAGCTACCCAACCCATCACCACGTCAACACTCATCCTCAAAGGGCGCCAAAACCACATCCTGGGCGCTACACGGATCCAGCTTTCCGTCCCCCCTACCACGGTCAACGCTGCTTATGTCGCGGCGGTCAACGATGCCGCCGGATGTACGGAGCTTGAGCACGTCCACGGCGGTTCCCGCCGCTGCCAGTGATGCTGACGGCGCCGACGTGGCGGCAGCGGCGGTGCGCGACCCATCCCGCATCCGCAACTTCGCCATCATCGCCCACATCGATCACGGCAAGACGACCCTCATGGATCGGCTACTGGCTGCATGCGGCCACGGCAGCTCGGAGGACAGGGCCATGGACAGCCACTCCCTGGAGCGGGAGAGGGGAATCACCATCCTAGCAAAGGTAGAGGGACATTGTACGGCAATTGACGCGCAAATGAGTCACTCCTCACGGTGCGGGTGCTGCCGCCAGCGGGCCAGCAGTGCAAGCTGGGGCTGTGGATTCTCCGCTATTGAACAGCGACCAGCGCCCCACCTGGCCAGCTCAACCTCAATCACATCCCGCCGCGAGAGACGAGCCGTATCAGGTCAAAGGGGGGAACCGGTCCCTGGGGCGGAGGGAGGAGAGGGACTGAAAATGCACATTGGGGAAATGGCGCTGCTATCTTTTCACAAGCGCATGATTCCCCCGTGTCGTACAGGTGACGAGTTTTACCTGGGGTGGATTCCACATCAACGCGGTGGACACGCCGGGACATGCGGACTTTGGCGGCGAAGTAGAACGGTACGACATTACGACATTGTTGTACAGCCGTACAGCAACGTGGAGGAGTTCCACAGTAGAGTCCCGATGATGCTTCCTTGTGCAGCGGGGGCGGTAAAGCCCACTTCTCAACAACAGTAAGAGCAGCAGCGGCAACAGCAGCAGCAAGAACGATTACAACAATAATACGGACAGAAACAACTGGGATTGGAGAGAGAGCTTCGAAGAGGCCATAAGCAAATGTTTTTCGGTTCATCAAGCGCGCTTAACTGTACGTAGTTGCCCAGGACGACTACCGGTTCCATACACAGTCA